GGACTGACTTGCAATCAGTAATCAGGTGGTCATGATATAAATTAATGTTTCTGTGAGAATCGTTGTGTCTTCAGGTGTTAAATATAGAAAACGATCAGAAACAAAAAAAAAACAGACACACATTAACAAACAACGAGCAGCAGAGACGCCGTGGATTAATCTCCAGTTTCAGTGAACACCTGAACACCTGCGATGGCGCTTCATCGCCGCGCTGATTAATGAACGACCGCAACGCTGGTCCAGCCACCGCCAACCGCGCAGTGAAGTTCATTTATCCAAAAAAAGAGAGGAGGCCATTTTGTAATCACTTCATTCATCAAAGACGGCGTCCAGAAGGAGGGGCGCTGCCTCGCTCCCCAAGGACGACGCGAAGAGAGAGGAGAGGAAATGAGGCAAAAAGAAAGAGGAACCGTCTCGCATTCTTAACAGGACATTATAACTCTGTTAAAGAAAAGTACAAGACAAACAGGATTACATTTTCTGTCACTTTCATTTACTCCTTTTCCTTTCCTCCACATCTCCTCTCTCCTGGCATCAGCTCTGGAGTTTAAGAGAGGTTGTTTGAAATGTCTCTCAGACTCCAGGAATCTCTCTGAAACCCTCTGCCCTTTTCAGTTCGTCTCCACCTGACGAGAAACAAAAAGGTCTTGTCTCTCCTTTGTTTGTTTCTCCGCAGAGCCTCAGAGCATTGTGGGCTCTTTTTTCTTTTTTTTTGTATCTGTGTCTATCTGATAGTATTAACGTCTGAAGAAAACAGCAGCAGGAAATGTTCTGAGGAGAAATATTTTATTTTTTAGAGTGGAGCTGATAATCCTGGATCATTTATGTGAAAAGCAGCTGCTTCAGAGTCCTCTTTAAAATCACATTTAGAAACCGACACTTTGTCAGAGTGAAACAGGATGTTTCTATGGACATAAACACCAACATGTAAGCCCTCACCAGCAGCAGAAAGGTCACCGAGATCCAAACAGAGCAGCTGTGGAACTCTGAGATTTATTCAAGTCTGTCTGCACGTTTGAATGTTTAATATCACATTTAACATGAAAACAGTTGAGGCAGCACTACAAAGAATATTAACATGCTCGCTTATTCTACAGAGGAAAAAAACACTAACAGCCTTTCCTCACAGCACGCAACACAAACGAGCATCAGCATCAAAATCAGCCTGATTCTATTGTTTCATATCGGAGTGTCCTGAGTGCCTGAAAGCAGCGCATTGCAGCGTTTTTATCTGAACGGTTTTGTCTTTATCGACACACACTGTACAGGGGCTGCTTATTTTTACAACTAAAGGCCCGGACACACCAAGCAGACGGCAGAGAACTAGTGGAGACAAAGGCTGCCTGTGGTGTCGCCTCACGTCTCGTAAAAAGTTGAAAATGGCGCTGGCGTTGTCAGTCCTTGGTCTTTTAGTGGAAAAAGAAAAGAAGAGGCGGAGGCGACCAGTAAGGAGAAACCGCACTAATGGTGAAATGGTGAAAGCATGGATCAAGGGGCTTTCCTGAAATAGGGTGAGCGGTCCGACTGCAAGCTGCCATGTTGTAGCGGTTTGTCAAGAGGCTTAAGGCCCTCTTCAGCTCCAGCTCTTAGGCGTTTTTTAGGTTGACTGAAAGTTTGATGGAGTCAGTATTTCCAATACGGCAACTGTCATGGAGGTGCGCCCAAAACAAGCCCTTCAGAAAACCAATAGGTGACATCACTCAGCCTTCTTTGCTCAGTTTGCTTCCTCATTTCTTTCCACCTGACAATCCACTGAGTGTGTGGTCGGCTCTGCCCCGGGGTCTCACCCCACACAGCAGAAGATCGTGAAGCTTTGAAAACTTTGAACTTGGGGCAGCTCCAACGCCCTTCCAATCAGATCAGATCACACTTAACTTTTAGTAACATCATCAAATATTAAAAAATATCAGGACTTTGCAAAGGATTGTCTGAACGAAATCTGTTTGTAGAGATGTCCTTAGGACGATAAATAAGAAATAAATCAAAACGGCTTAATAAAGGGAGGAGCTATATGCTTTTATGCAACTTTGTTTGAAATTAAAAGCCATTACTAAAATAGATATGTCTTGTTTTGGGCTCGTTGCGTATCTAGAATAGAGCTGAATCGAAGGTCATTCTTTTAATTATCGATCAGCCGTGACTTCCTCAGATTTCTTCTTTTATCCTTCCAATAGTTCAGAGACTCATTCAGCAGCATAAACAGACACAAACTGCGACAGATCCTCACGTGTAGGAAGCATTCACAGCAAACATAACTCAAGCCCGAGCTCCAACGATGTGCATGTGGGAGTGTTTTTGTTTACCTTGCTGGGGTTTTGTTTCTGTTTTACGGCTTGTGTTATCTCAGTGTCTCCTGTGTGGAATTCATTCTGATTTATTCTGAAATGTATTTGTTTTTGTTTGTTTCTGTCTGAATCAGTGAAGAGACTTTAGAGTTTAGCCGAGAACACAACAGGAAACACAAAGTGACATAAATACCAACATGCAACTCGGAATCATTCTCAGAGATTCAGAGGAGGGATCGAGTTAGAAGATCATCTCCAAACATATAAATCCAAAGGGGGGTGATGATCTCAAATGAAGGTCCAACCTTTGCTTTTTTGTTTTCTAATGTCTGTTACACTAAAAAATGTGTCATCTATCCCACATAGCCTGACGGTCCAGCTCCATACACATAGTTTCTTTTGTTTTTTGAACTGATAAAGGTATCCTTTGTTTCTCTCTTTTAAAGATTTATTTTTGGGGCTTTTTGTGCCTTTATATGAAGGCGGGAGAGAGAGAGTAGGGAATGACATGCAGGAAAGGAGCCACAGCCCATCCGCTTTAGGGACTACAGCCTCCATACATGGGGCGCGCGCTCTAACCACTTCTCTGCTCTCTTAAAACGGACAAAACACAGAGACTTTCAGTCGGTATGGATTTCAGTTTTTCAGAGACGTCCAGAGAGGAAAACAGGAAACTGCTGATGAGTCTCCGAGCTCAGAAAACAGGTCGCAGCGATCAGCGGCGCAACTCACATCGAGTCTGCTGCTGAAAATATCCTCCCCGAGCAGCAGAGCACGTTCCAACAGGCCGCACTACTGACAACAAAAACGTTAACACGTTCAGCTCCAAGCAACACAAACTTTACCTTGTTTGTCTTCAACAACACAGGGAATAATAACGTGAACACAAGGGATGGACTTTTCATATCAGCCAAGGATTTAAGGGAGGTGTCTTGTTTGGGACTAATTTGCATCTGGTTTTAAGATATGCTTCTCCAGCCGCTTGGATTCTGCTGCAGGAGGGTTCAGGTCTGGAGGAGCTGGTCTCTATGAACCGTTTTCAAAGTAGCATGGATGTGTTGGATGCATCAGTTTGTAGATGCTTTAACCAATGACTTTCTGCTCTGTGACCAAGGATATGTTGACCTTTTTTATTTTTTTAGAGATTTATTTTTGGGCTTTTTTGGGCCTTTAATGGAGAGATAGAACAGTGGATAGAGTTGGAAATCAAGGAGAAAGAGAGTGGGGTATGTCATGTGGGAAAGGAGCCACAGGTGGGATTTGGGCCACCCGCCTGGAGGACCACAGCCTCCATACATGGGGCGCGCGCACCAACCACCCCAGGAGCACCCCAGGAGATGTTGACCTTTAAGTAAGCGACCAACAGGGTACCAGCCAACCCAACAACCTCAGGTGCCGGTTGGTTGCAGGAACATACAATGAGAAATTAAATAAACCGTGGCACACTGATAATGACTTTACTGTCCCTTTATTGAGAGCTAACAATGCGTTTCTTTTGTAGCTAAGTGTCAGAGGGACAGTTTCACCTTAAATTCAGTCAGCCATAGTGGAGAGGACTTTGATCACCAGGGTTCATTGACATGTCTTTGTGCTTTTCTTGTTATTCTTGTAAATATGTGATTGTGTACATGCTCTGTATTTGTAAATGTACTTTTCAGTATAATATGTCTATGATATAAATTATGTCATGTATTTTTGATGAACGCTATAGTTTGAGGCTATGACCCTAAATATTCAATATTGTGATGATTGGTGGTGTATGTATTTAACACACCTGTGTGTGCCCATGTGATGATGCTGGGCAAATCTGAGGAAGCTACAGGCGAAACGGGTTGTTCGCTCAAAATAGATCAAGTCATGCAAAAGCAAAGCAGTAATCCTGTTGGGTATTGCTGAATCCGATCAGATCGTACGTCCATATTTTTTTATCGTCCTGACTATAGCATATCGCAGCCGAAACAGCTCGTATCTGAAGGAGAAAATATTTGACTTCCTGTTTAAATGCAGCTGTGAAAGCAGCAGCGGATTCTTTTTTTGTTGTTGTTTCAACTCAGTTCAACAACTGTTCCCAGCCTCCAAAAACCACCAGGAGAGCCTGTAAATCCCGGCAGAGCAGAGCGCGTCCCTCCAGCTGTTGTCATCGTCTCCAGATGGCAGGAACAAAAAAAGAGGACGAGAAAGGAAGAGACAGCCGGTGATGAAATGCAATGAAACGCTGCGCTGTTCCCATCTGGGCTCTGACTTCGTGAACTTGGCAGTCCAGATGAAAAGATGTGGAGGCTTTAGAGGAGATCTGCAGGTATTTAAGGTTTATTTGACTCATAAACTGCAAGTTCAAGCCTTTGAATACGGCTGACATAGAAATTCACTTTCAGGACGACTTTGAAATATTAATTGAGTCCTGAACCCTGAAAATAGAAGAAGCAAGTCAGCCACATGTGAACCAAGATCACAGAGGCGTGCTTTTATTTGGTCTAGTCGTAGTAAGTCTTGTAAATAGCAGCATGAGAAAGCTTTGAAAATAAAATAAAAACCACTGTAGGGATAAGAGCTAATAGAAACAGGAATAAAGAAAGGATTGGAATATGATGTAGAAATTATGAATGCCATTTTGACAGTATGAGGTGGCACTTATAGTCAGTTGTCAGAACAGAAAACACTAAGTTGATACTTTGTCCCTTTAATGCAGAGTCAAAAGGGAAACGAGCTTCTCACCGTCGACGCAGGCTGGTCTGGCTCGTGTCGTCCCGGCGATCTGTCCCTTTTTGCAGGCGCAGCGAGCCGTCTGTCGGGCGATGGTCCTCCTCGGCTGGCTGCTGTCCCGGTCCAGAGTGACGATTTCACAGGTCCCTGCTGCCAGCTGACCTGAGAGAGCGACAGACGTCATGTAAGATGGAGCTGTTTTTAGTTTACATTGGCGAATCACTGGTGATTATTTAAAGGGACTGATATCTGCAGGGAAATCAGAAGGGACAAATATCAGGAGATCTTGTAAGCTGAAGCTTTTAGCCAAAAGAAAAGCAGCAAACGTGTGAGTACAGGAGGTCCTCGACCTCAGTTAAATAACTCTTCACAGCGTCCAAAACCCGTGTAACCTTTCAGCTCTGCTTCTGTTTGAATCACTTTGCAGCCGGCCTCAGCTGGAGAGTCAAAAATAGACACAGTGCTTTGATTGTGTGCTTGTTAAGAGTGCAGGTCAAAGTGGCTGCTTCAAAGAGTGATGCAAAGCGAGGCTGTTTGTATGAAACCACTGAGAGGTTAGAAACTAAAAGCTGCTGACGGACAACAGAGGAAAAGTGGAATAAAGACGTTTAGCTTTCAGCTGAAGCTTTGACACCCATCTCTCGTTGAAGTCAGGACGAGGTCTCCTCCTGTGTTAACCATGTTGGTACCTGTGTGCATAGGAGCATAATCCTTTCACAGATCTTTAACTGGATATATCTGGAGGTAAAAATAGCCCAAACACTCATTATTAATACCAGCTGGAAGAGAAAAGTCTGCGGATCAGATGTCCACATGTAAGATCGCCTGTATCACACAGGTGATCATTAATAATGAGGATTTCTGTGATATGACGGGAGAATTAGATCACACCTGGAGGAGAGAGAGAGCGAGAGAGAGAGAGAGAGAGAGAGAGAGTTCAGCTTCCATATTTAATCAAACTGTTTTACTGGCTCGTGTTTCTTCACATTTGGATATATTTACTGCATGAAAATAAATTTCAGGAACAGGAAGAATATTTTGTCAAAAATGAAAAATGTTGAATGCATGATGCAGCCATTTTATTTACTGCAGTTTGAAACCAGTTTACATTCTACGTATGACACAAGGGGAGAAAGATAACTCCTCAGAGGAAGCGAAGGAGGCCTCAGTGTGAGTTTGCAAAGTAATTATGAATCAAAAGTGGTTTATTCTGAGTCAGAGTCGATATGTCTAAATGCTCATTTTTGCTCGATGCCCAATTCAGAGACAAATGGAGCCTTCTGCCCCGTACTCCTCTGTTGTTAGTAGTGTGTAAACTCCGTCGCAAGTTAGAACTTACTTTCAGACTAGGCTTGAACTTACTCACTTACCACTACACAATACTAGATCCTTATCAAGATCTGTTAAACCATCAAGGCCAGCCTCAAACTTTTCAAAGATTTCCAATTTCCAAGATGCCAATTCCTTCAGGAAGAAATCTCGGAATCAGTTGAGGAAACAGCAACATGTGTTGTAGTAAAAGTTTGTCAATAGAGGACCTTAGTGGGAGTGGCCTGCGGCGCTGTGCATTCTGGGATTTGGTGTCTTTCATCCACGAGCCAAAAAGACACTTTCTGCCCTTTCTCGGTCAAGAAGGCACCAACTTCAAAATTTATTTCACCTTTTTACTACATGTATGACCAATGTCAATACAGATTCATGTTTCAACGGGTGAAATATCCCTTTAATGACTTGAGTCAGCGCTTAGATCCTCGTAGTCAAATATGACTCCGCTAAGTGAAAGTTACTGAGTCAAATGATCACTTGAGTTAAAGTGCTGGAGTACCTAATTCCAAAAAATACTCAAAGTACTTTAAAATAAATATCTCCAAACGTTGTATTTTCATGATGCATGAGTGCAGTCAAGAATACTTTGGTGTAGGCTACATCTACTATACGTGAAGTTGATTTAGAAAACAATATTTGTGTCACACAGAATAAGAAGAAACATGAATATCCAATCGTAGGACCGGCTCTCTGCAGACACAGTCACCACCACACATGTATGGAGGCTCAGAAGGGATGACTGAGCTGAATTACTTTTGAATAAGTCTATTTTTATTTGATTATAGGAAAAAGTCACTGACTCTATCTGTAAGTACAGTACTCATGTTCATTTACTTTGTTACTGTTCACCACTAGTTTGAGTTTAAGAAAAATCGATGGTCATGCCGCATAGAAAGAGTGTGAAGCATAGTGTGAAGTAAAGATATAATTATCATTATAATTATAATTATTAATATTATTCAAAATCTCAGCATGCCACATTAACAGTGTTATCATCCTGAGAGAACGACACAGCTCAGTTTGGATACGTGTTTGTAAAGCTGTGAATACACCGTCCAGAAGCAAAATACAACGAGCTACTTCTCTGTCTTTAGTGAAGAGGAAAATGTAAGACTGCTTTAAACACACACACACACACACACACACACACACACACACACACACACACACACACACAGACAGGTCTCTGTCGAGTACATGCCGTTATTCTACAAAGGCTGCCCTGTCCTTCAACTGTGTTATAAAATCCATTCTGTCATTTCTGCAGCTGTAGCTGTTTGAAGTCCAGACTGTCGGGGTGAAAAGCTCCAGCTGTCAAGACGGAAAACGCGGCGCGGCGGCGGCAGCGGCAGCACTCAGGAGCTGATAGGTTTTGATGTGGCGAGCGGCGTTGGCTGTCAGCAGTGTCTCCAAAAACACAAATGAAGACACAGCGCTGTTGTTTCTATCGACTCAGAGACATCACCACTGTCCATCAGAGAGCGGGTATCGTTCAGGAGGATTAATGTCTGTGTGTCTCTACCAAACACACACGCCTTTCCACTTCTGCAGGCGGATTAAACAGTCGAAACAACGAATAAAAACATCTTTTAAAACGTGTCTGAAAGGATACTTCCTGTAGACGTGGACATGACTTCTGTCTTACTTTAACTACATGTTGTAGTAGTGGTTGGGATGATAGCTCTGAAAACACTGCTCAGATCTCCGTGTTGAAACTCTCTGCAGTTTTAATGAATCTCATAATCACATCTGACAGCCTGCATTAGCTCGACTGCTGCTTTCTGTCTGATGTGTTCTCCTCATCCTGTTAGCCTCCAGGCTACATGGGAGCTAATAAACTCTGTGTCTCAGAGCTGATGGAATGACACTTATCACCTCCTCCTCCTCTCTGTTTGGAAACATGCCCTCAGACCTCTGTGAGCTCTGGAGGAGCAGCCATCTTTTTGGTAAAACAAAAAGAGGTCAAAGTCTGACAGTCAGTGACAGGAGGAGAGGACGATTTTAAAAACGTGGGAGACCACAGACAGAAAGACACTTTTAACCCATTTCTAACATTATAATCCTCCAAACACACACACTGGAAGACTCGATACCAGGCCGCGAGACGACACACCTGCCATTTCAAGTAACGGTTTCACAGTGTGGCTGTGGATTCCACAGCAACGAGATCTCCCAGAAACCTGAGATCAAATGTGACTTCAGAAGGAAAACAAATACGGAGGATGAACAACATCGTCAGCTGGCTGTCCTGGAAAAAGAATAACGGGAAATCCTGGCACAGTGGTGTTTATGTTTGCTGCCATGTTTGTGAGCTGTAAAAGTATCCAACATCTGGTAGGTGGCGCTTCCTTGTCTTCTCGCTCTCATTGGCTATTGCGGGTATTCCATCTGAGGCAACCCAATCTGGAATCATAAATATCAAACATATTTGATATTTAAGATTCAAATTGGGGAATATTAGGCACAAAGTCAGGCCTAAAACCATCTTTTGTGTAGCCTGCCTAACTGGCCGTTTACACAGGATTCTTGTTTGCAGAGTTCTGTCTCTGCCGTGGTTTTTGCACACCTTAGCCCACTGGGTCAATTTCTGAAATATAAGAGCAGCCATGAGCTGTTGGACCTGCAGAATCACAGGAAAACTACAAGATCGCGTGGGACTAAAGAGAGCAACGTGCAAACAACTTGTAACTTTGTCCTTCAAAGTTGGATTTGTTGTTCATTTGATGCCTGTTTTGATGTAATGTGGCATAATGGAACAGGAGTCTGTACATGGTGTTTTATTTTGAAATTGACTAGGTGCTCTGTACGTTCCCTTGTCTGACTTCCTGTCTGGTTGATCTGCTGTGTTCAGCTTGACGTATGCTTGCAGCGGGCTCCGTTTAAAATAGATTTATGGAACCTAATGATAAGCTGTGCAGATTAATTCAAAAATGTAATTAAATCTGCTCTGATCTGTAAAGGGAAAGTCAGTGTATACATTTAAAGAGTTTGATGAGTTTTTCAGATAAAGATAAAGTCAGAATTTATCAATAACCTTGATTACCCAATCCTGGACAGCAAGATACATTTCCAAATGTAACCTTCGGTATAACCCTGACACTTGGTGGAACAGCTGCGGTGCGTTTTTTTTTAAACATCAGAGCTCGACTTTTGTATTGCAGTGATCTTGACTCGGGCGGTAAAGATGGAGAAGCCCCGGCGCTTTCTGTGGTAATTGGGCATCAGTCTGTGTGTAGATGATGTAAGGGATAGTGGATGCGGTGGCAGCTTTGTGTTTTCCTCGTTAGCAGCAGCTCATCACCGGCCCTGTTTACTTCTCCATCTGTTGCAGCACACCGGGATGACAAAGTTATTGTTACTCATCCCCAGACAGTCAGGAAACGAGAGAACATCACGCTCGCCAAACACCATTAAGGTCAACTTTTTAAAAAATGTTTGACGTCTGGAACGATTAAAAAAAGATGCATGTGAGCTGCATCAGCTTCAGTTTACAGAGTGAGAGACGCAGCCGGAGTTTTATTTGTTTTTAGTGAGCTGCACAATCAAACCTGTAAATAACAAAAGAAGATTTCTCTGTAGCTCACAGTTTGCTTTTCTCCCCTCACACAACAACAACAAACTCAGACTCTCCCTCCTCTTTCCACAGAGCAGGATGTTGTCACCCTCTGTAACATCCCAAAAAGAGCTCCTCTGAATCCAGAATAGCAGCTCATCACTCAAAGTGTGGTGGCCCTGATGACTCATTGTACTTCAACAGAAGATAGCCCGAAAAAATTGGGCATATTTGGACCCCTTTCTCTCCCCCCTCTCTCTAATATCACAGCATTATCTGGAGT